TATTAGTCAGAAAACAGCTGATAGAATAGTATGGAAATATGTTAATGCAATGTATTATGAGTTGGAAGAATTCATTTTGCTTTTCTTGGTCGAATTAAAATAGTTAATTCATATAAATAAACCAAAACATTTGTACAATTTACTATAGTGTATATATTTGCTATAAATGGTGCGATTTCGATATTATTTTTTTTTAAGAAAGATGTTCCGGGGTGGAGGTCATAAATATGCTGAATAGTGGCAAAACTATTTTATTAAAAGCCAACGTTTTGGCTCGACTTTGCAGGTCTTCTTTAGGGCTAGAACGGACAAGATACAAAAAAAGAATTGTGGGAGTTTACATAATATTTAGAAAGAAAAAAAAATTATAAACAATGTGAATAATCTTATTAAAATTATAAACAGTAAATACATTAAAATATAAACAGAGTAAGCTAAGTAACAAGATCCTGAACTGAAGTAAATAGATGGTAACAATTGTTGTAGTGTAATATATAATATATGCAAATGTTAATATACTTCTACCGATCTACAGGAGAGATTGAAAGAAAAGGAAAAAGGGCATAATATGAAATAATAGACATCAAGGAATGTGGAGAAAGAGAGAAAAAAAATAAGTAAATAAAATTAGAAAAATAAAAATAGAGACTTACAGGTGTGTTCAGCTACGTGTTTCACTTGAGAACTGGAAAATCAGTTTAAGGGCAGGTATTGGGTGACTTGTTTGGGTAATGGGAAAAGACCTAGAAAATTACAGTATCTAAAACTTGAAGATATGAATGGATACAAGGGAAAAAATACTATATCTATGAAATATTAAACTATAAATATATACATATACATATAAAATAGAATTAAGAGATTATAGATAAGAGTACAATGTGAATAAAAATAAAAATGTAAGAAGTAAAATATAAATATAGATATAAGAGACCATACATTGCAGAACTAACTTAGAAGTATAGAGAGGGGAATATATATATATATATATGAATAATTATAATTATATTTTATTTTGCAGGGAATTTTGTAGCCTTTTAATTATTCATGGAGTTAATTCACCGTAAATTGCATACTTTTCCTGTTATGGCTAAATAAAGTTTGTTTGTTTTTCTGGAATGTTGGGGGTTGTAATTAGACAATCTTTAAAATGATGGTCCGATAATTGGAATTAACGAAGATATGGCGAAATAAAACACCAGTGAGAAAAAATACACATTATATATTGTATTTATTTATGAAATTGTTATATAGTTGTGTTTTTTTAATAAATAAAAACAATTTCATGCCATCTTCGTGTTGTTTTTCAAAATTTCAGCAATATTATTTTCCAAATCCACTTCACACCAATGTTCTTTATAGGCACAATGCTCAGTCTAGATGTGCATCACCGTGATATTTACCACACAGGAAACAAACTCAAGGGATGCCCCCTTTGTCAATAGGTTTTCATGTTTTAGCCTTGAGTGTCCGATTTGTAGTTTTGCTAGGCTCTTTTCTCTCTTGTCTCTTTTATTCTTTCCAACTGCAGGTGCACTCGATTTGTATCTACAGAGGGCTGGAAATTGTAATTTTTCTAAGAAACAGAATCCATGACAACAGTGGCATCAAAATTTCCTATCGCAGGTATAAGGTAGGGCTCAAATGGAAACTGAAAAACTGTACATTTAAGAGCTTTAAAAGGTCGTTACTTAATCTTAAAAATTACCAGAGTTACCCTTTACTACACAAAAATCCGAGATTATTAAAGTAGGTTTCGAAAATGGTATGTGTAAAAATGATAATTAATATTTTATAACACTTCTTTGAATACAATTTTAGAAGCAACAATAGATAAAATACAATAGCCTGTATCTTTGTAAATAATGGTCCGATTTCAATGTTTTTTTTTGTTTTGTAATAAATTTAGCAAACTTTCAAATAATAATGGGTCTGGTCTGGAAAAAAATGTATACTTTTTAAGTAATTCGCAAATAATTGTTCTCTTCATTCAAAATTTTTTTTCTGAAATTTCGGGTGGATGTTATTATGATTCATCACTGCTCTATTTAAAACCCTTTCATTTGATATCTCATTCATCAAAATACATTTCTCCGGAGAACCGGAAAAGGGATCATTACGGCAAAAAACTGTTGTATTATATTATAAGATTTTGCGAAACAGAGCTTCAAAGATACAATTTGCTGTGTATAAAATATGAAATATATTTTTGGTGATACTAGGTCGAAAAATATTAGGACTCATTTCCAAGGATTCTTGCTAATCAGCCCTAATAGCTCAGTCAAATTAGCACAAAAAAGGGAATCTAGCTTGCAAAAGGTCAGGTAATTCAAATTTCTTTTTTATATTGTTAGGTATACAGCACTAGCGGATCCAGGATTTAATTTTTTTGGGGGGCTTCAGCCCGAAAGCTTTTTTTTTTTCATAAACATAATAATAATTACTTCAGAAAAAAAGAAATAAACTAACTACCTATATGAAATAGTGTTTAAGTGATTCCTTTCAAATGTAATTACACAAACAATAATGCTTTGAGAGATAATTTTTTTCGATAAAACATGGTTATATTTTCCCATTTTGGGGGGGGGGGGCTTCAGCCTGAAAGCTCCCTCCCCTCCCCCTCCCCCATGTGGTATGCAGTGACTATAAAAAATCCAAAGCCTTGAAAGCCTTGTGGATTCGCTGCAGTGCTCCAAAAACTATTGAAATTTCGAACTTTTTTTGGTTTACACTATCTCTTTTTTAAAGTAATAGATAAAAAATAGTTATATTCAATCTTGAACAGCTTAAAATTATATAACATTATTTTTTTTTAAATCCAACAGGAAGTAAACTACATATAAACATGGAAAATTATTTATTTGTTACTAATTATCTGCTTTTATAGGTGACATAGCTCAATTTTTTTAAATTAAATATTAAAGCATACATAATTTGCTATAGCTTTTACACAACTTGAGGTGAATCTCAAAATTTTCTCTACTAAAGCTCAACTTAATTAATATATATTTGAAGCTTATTAAATGAAAAAGTTTTTTCTAAAAGTGGTGTATCTGTAATATAGTTGGATGATGCTAAAAAAAAAAAAAAAATTGCAAATAATTTATGATTTTTTTTTAACGGAACTTAGCTGATTTCAGCTGCTCAAAAGTTGTCTTTAAATGCTTTCAACAATGTTAAACTCTAGTTTCATTTGAAGTAAATTTTATCAAATTTACTATGATACAATTGTAAACTACTTAAATTAAATATTTTTGTAGATGTCGCTTTATATTAAACAAAAAACGTGACTCACTTAAAATATTATTAATCTTTTTTGCAGATCTTGATGTCTACTATCAGCCTTTTAAATATTTCCCTCTACTTACGTAACACCATTTATATATATATGTATTTTCTTATGTACCAATAAAAATGGTGAGGATATAAGAACTCTCACAAGTAATGACATAAAATTTAAAAATATTTTATTATTAGGTATTCACAAAATATGTTTACATTTATGTATAATTTTCTACATTACATCAATAGATAGCTTACTACTATATACTAATTCAATATTTTATTTTAAGGCAAATTAAAGCGAAACATTTTCCCAGTGGATAATAAAATAACATTTAGCGAATAAAATAGAAAGTAAAAAGCATTTCATAAAACTTCTAAGGCTTTTATAAAAATCAGATCTAATATAACAACATAAAAGAATAAAACTATAATTCACCTACTCTTCATATTTAAATAAAATAAGAACATCTTATAAGTAGTGATAAACTATTTGGTTAACTAATAAATTCTTAAAAAAGGTATTATCATTAATAAACACACATAAGTATATATATATATATATATATATATATATATATTTTTTTTTTTTTTTTTTAAATAGTAATGTATCAATATCATAATAAGAGAAAACTTATATTATAAATATACAACTTAAATATTCATGAAGAAAACATTTATAGAACATCAAAGCATTATTATATAGTTAACATATATTTTTTTTATTATTAAAAAATAAATTGTTTATCAAATAAAATTAATTATAAACACAATATAAAATTTATATACACGATACAACAGATTATTTCTGGTTACATATTCTAACAATGCTGCAGAAATAAATTCTAACAATGTTGTAGGAAAAAAGTGGTATTACACAATTATTTTATCCAAAGTTACGGAATGTATATAAATTTAAAGTCACAGAGTAATATTAAAACTTCATATCAGGTCCAAATGTTTTAAACAGACATAAAAGATTAGCAAATAAACATTTTTGTAAAAGAATATTTTCAAATCATAAATTTACCAATAATCAATTCAGTGGCTTACCATTTTTTTCGTCATTTTATATTTAACCTTTGATAATCTGAACAAGACATACAATCAGTTTATACAATGTGTTTGGATTATGTTTTGGATCCTGTACTTATTTCTTTGTACGTATTACTTAAATAATTTGAAAACTGCAATGCACCGGTTTCGAAAATATGTGGGAGAGAAGTGTTCACTAATATGATAGTGCTTCTTTAGTTATGCCACTGAATGAATTTAAAATTTAATAACTTTATTATATTATATCGGTATTATTTCAGATTTAGAGATGGACATACTTCCTTATTTTAGATTTAATTCAGGTCGAAACTCAATACAATTTAAAAAAAAAAAATGTAGCATATTAACATACTATCTTCCAAAAACATAAAATTATTAATTACATAGAAATTCCTATGTTAAGCTCAACTTAATTGTAATACTACTAATTCTAAAATATATCAAAAGAAGTAAGACATTGCATTTTCAATTTAGCTTCTCTTTTCGCAATATACAAATGTTAAAGCTACAGAACAGTCTTGACGAATTGAAAATTCAAAGCAGTTTAATAAACACTATTATTTTATCCAGAAAACTAATTTATAAAATAAAATAATGCTTAAGTATTGTGAAATAATTTCAACCTTCATACATTAAAAAGAAAGTAGATTTAGTACAAATAATTATTCAACGGTATTGTTAGATACTCCGTTATTAGCAGGAGTTTTTTCATGAACTTTAAAATTAATAAAACCATCTACGTCATCTAACTCTTTTGAACTGAATTTAGCAACGATGACACCTTTTCCTGAAGTAGGAGGTATTATCTTAAAATCAGCCTTTGCATCTTCTTTTGATCCAATGGTACTGAAAAGAAATAATTGATTAGTTTTTCTTTTCATAATTTTCAATATTGGTTTCTTGACTATTATGTAATAAAATAAGAGGCCTATAGATGACCAAAACTCGGCTTTATTTTATAATTTGATAATTCAATTTAAATAAAAACAATAATTAAATATGAGAAGGAGCTAATGGGGGGGGGTGCGGTCAAATAAATACTAAATTAAAAGATAGTAATTATTTAATTTTTGCCGACGTTTCAACCTACTTTGCAGGTCGTCTGCAGGGCTACAAAAGATACAAAACATGATGAAAATAAAATAAATGAATATAAGTAGATATAAAATAACAAGAAGTTGTCAGATACAGAAATAAAAATATGATATCAGAAATATAGTAGGTGACAATGTAGTTAAAATATCAAGTATTATATATGAAGAAGATACAAAAAAATGGAAAATAAGTATGAATAAAAATAGAAAATAAAGGAGAATATAGCATGTAAGTTAAAAGTAAACAGATTGCGATAAAAGATAAGGAATAAGTGTATTACAAACTAATAGAGATTACATTTGATAACTGTGGGTTAACAGTTCAATTTTCGGTTAACTTATTCAATTTTCAATCTATTTATTCGTTAACATTCATTTTCTTTATCTGTTAACCCACAGTTATCAAATGTAAGTATGACTTGGTGACACGCAATAGAGCCGTACATTGAATTGCTGCCAATCTGAGGTTCTGAGACAATGCAAGAGAAGCGTACCTCAGAACACCCAGTACCATTCCACTGTAAATGGTCCTCCTAGCTGGATATCTGAAGCCCCTAAATGCACCCCCTGGGCGACTAAAACCTTTCAAGGCTAAGGCCATCCTATTTCTTAAGTAGTCCAAATGAAGGGTCATATTAAACCCTGTTTCAAACCTTATCCCTAGGTACGTGACCACCTCACTTGGACATATTCTCATTCTCTTGGGATGAGCCCAAGGAATTGAGTGAGACCTATCTGTCTTTCCTCTCAGCAGGTTCACCTGGGTCTTTAATGCGGCCATTCTTAATTTCATCCTCCCACACCATTACCTGACCAGGTTGGAATATTAAATTAAATTTCCAATCTGCAACATTTTTGACTAAAAGGTTGAATTTTTTTAATGTTGGAGGGTTTTGCAGAACCCTACAGTCTATATTGTAAGTCCAAATTAATTCTAGTAAAACTTTATACAGAGTTAGTTTGTTAAAAATAATTTTGAACATCTGCCAAGTAACCTGTATAAAAGACCATATAATCTGTTTAGTTCTATTTGTTTCAATCGAATATGACTCCTCTATGTGAGTCTTTTGTCTAGATAAAAACCCAAATATCTTATTTCATTTGGGGTTTCAATATTATACCTTCCAGCCTCAGTCATATACAATGATGGAAAAAAGTATTTGCACAACACGTTTTTATGAATAAAGTAGTTCAAGGAAACAAAAAACTTCACTTTCCTATGCAAAAATTAAAAGTAAATTTATTAAAACTGAAAAAACCTTTTTACAAAAAATAAAACACTTCATAATAAAAAAAAATAATTTAAACAATAAAAGTGCTTGGAAAATAGTATTTGCACACTTCCACATTCACAAGTTTATTTTAAATTTTAATAGTTTTAATATTTTGTAAATAGGCCATTTGCGTCAATAATTGCTTGTAGACGTCTGGGAATTGAATGCACTAGGTTTTTAATTAAATCTACGTTTATTTGTTCCCATTCTTGAACAAGAAGCTGTTTAAGGGGATGTCCACTAGTGATATGGTGTTTTCTTACATTTTGGTCAAGGGTGTGCCATAAATTTTCAATGATATTTATATCTGGAAACTGAGGAGGAGAGTGGAGCTGTCTTGGAACATTAAATATTAACCACTCCTTTGTTCTCCTCGCAGTATGTTTTGGATCGTTGTCCTGCTGGAAATAGTACTGATCCTGGATTCCCATTTTTTCGTCAGTAACACGCAAATTATGTCGCAAAATATTCACATAGCCCTCCGCATTTAAAATGCCTTCGATGCTCACAAGATTTCCCCACCATGGTAGGAAACACTCCCCCAAACCATAACATGTCCAACACCATACTTTACAGTTATTAAAACATTTTGCTTCTTTAGGGGTTCATTACGATGTCGCCATATCATCCTTCAACCATCTGAACCAAACAAATTAAATTTGCTTTCGTCAGAAAAGATGACATTTTCCCAAAAGCTTAAGGGTTTCTGTACGTAATCCCTAGCAAAAGCATAAGCAAAAGCAAAAGTCACTTTTTGCGATTCGTTTCACTGATGTATGGCTTCATTTTTGGAACTCTACCATGGAGCCCTTCCGAATCCAGGGCATATCTAATTGTTCTGCTTGTAATCTGAACTCCAGACGTTGATTGGACCATGGTAGCCAGCTCCTGATAACTTATCAGAGGTTTTTTAAGAGCTTCTTTTCTGATTTTCCTCTTCAGCCTGGGAGTTAACTTTTTTGGACGCCTTTTACACTCACTGTTTTCAGATGAACCACGTTCTTCATACCTTTTTAATACATATCCCACTGTAGAAAAATTCAAGCCTAAGAAATCAGCAATTTGGCGATATGTTTTTTGCTGACTCCGCAGTAAAACAATTTTTTCGCGAGTTGCGGCACAAAGTTCACTTGTCTTTGGCATGATAATTGTCTATTGACTAAAGGAAACTGATTTAAAGACTAGAGAATACTGGTAATAAACGATTAGAGATAAATTAGTAAACAAACCTATGACCTATGGACACAGGAGGATTAATGCCAAAGTAAACAGTGCTTGTGAGTCATAGTGTGCAAATACTTTTTTCCAAGCACTTTTATTGTTTTAATTTTTTTGTTTCATTATGGAATGTTGTCATTTTTTCCAAAAGGTTTTTCTCAGTTTTTAACAAATGTACATTTCATTTTTGCAGAGGAAAGCGAAGTTTCTTGGTTCCTTGAACTCATTTATTCATAAAAACATGATGTGCAAATACTTTTTTCCATCACTGTACCTAGGGGGAAAGGTACATGGTTTTTTGTTTAAATTTGATTTTCTTGAATGTTTAATACGATATATTTTGGCAATGATTCAAAATAATATTTAAAAGATATTGTTCAATAAATTATACTCTGAAAAAAAAGAAATTGGTATTTTATCAAGGTTAAGGCTTACCTTGGAACTTTTATTTTCAATTGTTTTTCTAAGCCTGGTCCTTCTATGTGAAATTCTCCTTTTTTTATTGAAATCGGTAAAGGATTTTTCAAAGTTATAGTTACATGGGTCGGCTGGTCTTTAACTGCGTCTCCATCAAGCTATAAATTAAACAGAATTTGTAAAATGTAAACGCACAGTATACATCTGCGTATAGTAAACTGTATTTAATAATAAATTATAATATTCAGAATTATAAAATAAATTTTTTGTATTAAAATCTAATATTACCTTTATTTTTATATCTGGCTTTCGAACTCTGAAGTCGTCTTGAGCAAAGTATTCGTAATTAGTATCTTTGACTGTGGCAAGGCATGCTATATTGAACGCGCATTGGTCTACAAGCTTCTTGAAATACTCGTCATAATTAACAGACATTTTAACCGTTTCAACTGAAAAAAAAGAAAGCAAAGTTAGAAAATATTGTACTATATTTAAGTAAATAAAATATTATTTTAAACTGGAAGAATAGTAAATAAAATAAATTCCTAATGAAAAAAAAATCTTATTATTTTTAAAAATATGGCGTTAACTAGTAGGCCCTAGCGAATAATTCAAACAGTATGTTGTAAAGGTAATATAATATGAAAGTATCTAAATGCTATTATGAGAGGAAGGAATTAATTTTTCATTTTCTCAACCACTTACAATGGTCATTATTGAAAATAATAAATCAAAAGAAAATTCAGAAACCTTTCAAATGATTGTATGTATACTCATACATTATGCTCAAAAAAAGTTTAAATTTTTTCGTAACTTTTTTCCCCTGATTTTCTAGATGTGTACCGGGATTGTACAGATTATTTATAGTCAATTTCACATTATGAACAAGAAAATGAAAATTTCAGAGAGGGCACTACCAAAGCTTCATTGGGTGACTTGAAACTAAACCAAGAAAAATATAGCTAATTGGAAATCATTCAGTCATTTTTATATTCTCTGTAATAGAGGAGAAAATCATCAAATCAAGGCAGATGAATAATATAATGAAGTAACCATGTCATACTGAAGATTTTCATGAGGCGGTCTTAAAAGGAGTTATTCCTAATGGTGATTCTACGAGAGAGGTTTAGGGATAATTCCAGAAGGTGGAAGACAAAGGTGGATGATGACCTCAAATGGACACTGAGGAAATACATACCTACCATCAAATCGTGTACAGAAAATAATCCCGGGATGCTGAGTCTGACAGATTCTCAGAACACATTTAAACATGTCAAAAAAATTTATTCCAGATGTGGCATACCAAAAACCGCTGAGCACAATGTGACAGCTTGCAGAATCTATGAGGCACTGAGGGCACTACATCCTAATGGAGAGCAAGATTCGTCAGCTGATAACTGAACTGAACTACCTGCACTTCAAGAACTTTGTATGCGGGTGGAAAGAAGTAAAGGGCCCAACCAACTTCTCCTTGGGTAGGAGAGAAGAAGCCATACCAGGGAGGCCACCAAATCAAAGAGAAGAAGAGGATGGTGGTCAAACTTAAGAATAAATAATAGCAGACTTTATGGACAGATATTTATCATAATTAAAACAGATTAATTTGCAGTTTTACGTTATGTAGGCATCCATATGCATCAAAGCATTGTACCGCATTGTGTTTTATTATCAGTGTACGGTGGAAAATAAAATAAATAATAAAAGAAGAATAATGTAAAAATTAATAATAATAAAAGGCCTAGTGACCCCGATGTTCGATGCCAACACCACCAATCACTGTCTACACACCTTCCCTCCTTCCACTGGTTGCCGTCCAAATACAGCCCCTTTAGATCAGCCTTAACGCAATCTTCCCACCTTCGCTTCAGTCTACCCCTCAGACGTTTACCAGTCCATAGAACAAATGTTAACCTTTTAGGAATTCTTTCGTTACTAACTCCAACAATTTCATAAGCCCATGTAATTGCCTCAATTATATTAACTTGATACAATTGATTCACACAATTCAGCGTGCAATTCACGGCAATTCAGCCATGTTTTGCATCCATAGAAAACTGCAGGTAGAATAACGGTTAGTTATTAAAATTATTAATATTTGTTGAAAATATAAAATACGTAAATAGAATAACATCCACAGGAAACAAAAACTTATAGTTTATAATAACAAAATTATACCTGCTCCTGGCTTTAGGTCAACATCAAATTGTTCTCTTTTGACTGAACCATCGACCTTTCCTGTATAAAGTACAGTGTCTACTCTTAAAATTCCAGATATAGAGTACTGCTTTGTCTTGTTTCGATTTTTCATCTCCAAAGTCACGCTAAAATAAAAAATTATTTTAAAAAAATATCCTCTTACAAACCTAATGCGTTAAGACCAACAATTACCTGAAAGGTGAACCAATCACTATATCATCTAGAAGCTTGAAATCAAAGTTGACATCATTAAATTCTTCATTTAAGTAATATCGACTGAAAAGACTTTCACTTTGCTTCAATGCTTTCAGCATGGAGGCCCTTTCATCATCAGTTTCTGGAATTTAAATTTCAAGAATTTGATACATTTTTTCTTGAAATACTTGTAGAGTTGTTTATAAAAATTTATAAAAAAAAAAAATTAAATGCCTACTTTCTGGAAATTTATAATTGTCAGTGATATCTTCTCTCGTCCATGCTCCCACTGCTTTCGTACTAATGTTCAATCCTACCCTGTAAAATAATTATAAAGAACTAAAAAACATCATTCTTGCTATAACATTGAAAATATTTTTTTTTTTAATTTTAATTGTAACTTACATTTTTTCATTATTTTAATTTTTCTATTTAGTGCAAGAACATTTTATTTTCATATGATAATAATAAAAAACGAAGAAGATAAAGAAGCTAAAGAGCTAGAAGCACATCAATTATATAAATATTTAGGTGCAACATCAGCTTCTGGCTGTGTTCAGAAAGAGATTGCGACAAGTAATCAGGACTCAGTTATCTGGGAAGCAAAAAATTAAGGCCATTAACATTTGGGTCACAACAGCTCTGAGCTATAGCTTTCGTGTATTACATAGGTCCAATACCAGTCTACAGGAGATGGATCGTCTAGTACGAACGACACTCACACAAGAACGGTCTCACCATCCAACATCCTCTCAGGCCCGCCTGTATTTATCTAGAAAGGAAGGAGGTCGCGGACTTCTGAATCTAGAGGAAGCACGTCGAAAGCAGGAGCTGGAGCTACGACAATATTTTCTTTCTAAAAGGACGGGAATTGACCTCACTATAGCCAATATGGTTTCAGGTCTAACGGCACTCAATTTGAACAAAGTCGAAGATTTCACAGTTGTGTCAGAATGGAAAAGCAAGGCACTACATGGCAGATACTACAGCCAATCAAATGAAGCCTCCATAGACAAAGAAAGATCTGTGGAATGGTTAGCGGCAGGAAGGCTATACTCTGAAACAGAAGGCTTTATGGTTGCCATTGAAGATCAGGTCATTGCTATCAGGTCATATAGGAAGCACATTCTAAAAGACAGTACAACATCTGATAAATGTCGACTTTGTTCAATGACGTTCAAATCAATCCACCATATCACAGCTGGATGTGGAGTGCTCACTGGTATAGAGTATCTGCAGAGGCACAATAATGTGGTGAAAAGAAAATGGCTGCTCTGTAGTTTCCCAAGATGGAAAATCCCAAAGAGGAGAGGGACAAAGGTTTTGTTTTGGCAAGCAGTTGTGTAACTGTAGTGAAGAGAGGATGGGAGAAGTGATCCAGGCTCCAGTGGGTGAAACCCAGAAATAGTATTAACATCTTGGAAGTTGTGTTTGGCAGAACATTAGAAAGCATTTGAAAACAAATGAATTTAGGGCAACATAGGAAGAAATAGTATCTATAGAAAAAAGGTTAGCTTGTCAATTCATACTTGACTTTATTTTAAAATCAATGTTTAATTTTAGTATAAATGTATAAATAATAATAGTTTGTCTGAGTTGATCTGATTGTCAGTAACCCACACCTAAGATAAATAAATATATTAATATTATTATAATTTTGTTTATTATTTAATAATCTCTTATTTATTTAGGAAGTATACCAATGGTATAAAATGATCTGAGATTATATTATTATTATTATTTTAAAATATAAGAGAAAAGATGTTACTATATATTTTTTTTCTTCTCTAGTTTATTGAACATTTAAAGACAGTTGTTTTATTTTATTTTTTGTACATTCAGAACTTAAAATTTTGTTTTATTCATTGTTAAAAGTATTATTTATTGCTTTCTTTTCTTGAATTTTTAAATATTTTTTTTTACTTTTATATCACCAGCGCCATTTATATGTATGTATTGTTTTAGCTTTTGTTGAATATAGAAGATTATTTTATTTTAACGCCTAACTTTTTATTTTTAAACCTTTTCCATCTCACGAATATAATGGTCATTAGCATACCTCAACACAAGAAAGGTTTTCACTGAAACTCTCAGTTCAGGTAACATTATCAGAAAGCAGTAAAAAGTTTTGTTAAATGATTTACCCATTTGTTTCCTTGCGAAGAAGTTTAAGAGGTTGAGTTGGGCCAGCATATCTCCAATAAACTTTATCTGCGTTAACTTCTGCGTAAACAAAGGCGGCATCATAGGGTCGTAACACTTCTCCTCTTTTGACAGCGGCGATCGAAGCTGGTCCACAACAAAAAACACCTTCGCTCAGTTCTTGAGGGGTTGAGTCGATAGCTTGCCATCCTTTGTATTCGCGTCCTAAGTCATCTCTCTTCATCCATACTTCATTCCAAACATGATAATTCCTGTATAAACAATTATTGTTTCTTCATTAAAAAACGGAGGGAAAAAACATTATATAGTAAAAATATTCCATTTACCAAGATGCATTTACAAATACCAAATTACATTGGGTTGCTTTAAACACAGCATACTTATTAATCGCTACAGGCAATTTTCCAAAACTAATATACAATTTATAATATTAACAATATGTATGAGCATAGTATACAATTTTTTTTTATATATATATATATATATATATATTTTATTTTAATATAATTTATATATATATATATTTTTTTTTTTTAAAGGTTGATAGCAGACATCATATTCTACAGAAAAAGTTGATATAAGCAATTGCTCAATTTCCAACAGAAAAGTAGAAAATTTAAGATTTGTGTTTTTTTAAGTGAGCTACATTTTTTGTTGTATAGGAAGTAATAACTAAAAAAATATTTGACTTAAGTAATTTAACATTACCCCATAGTAAACTAGACAAATTTGACTAGATTTTGTCGTTTTTAAAACCATTTAAAGAGGATTATTTAACGGATAAACTCAGTTAAGTTCCTTTTTAAAAAAAAATCATAAATTATTTTTGATTTTTTTTTATCAACCTTCAACTATATTACAATTACTCCACTTTTAGAAAAACTTCTCTGTTTAAAAAGTTTTAACTCCATATCAATTAAGTTGAGGTTTATTAGGAAACATTTTGTGATTTAACTCAAGTTATGTTAAGAAGTTATGTGATTTTCTATCCAGTCACCTAAAAATACTCGTGTTTTCAACAAAACTGACTACAATAAACTATTGAAAAGCTTTTATTTCATGTTTTTATGTGATATGGGATGGATTGTAATTCACATAATTGCATAAGTTTCTTTTTTTCTTTTTTATTTCTTTATTACATTTACAACTGTATTACATAAATACATCAAGTAAATTTGGACATAATTGATATAATGACATGAATACACTTGCTGAGTAACTACCCAATGGTAGCACTCTAATGATATGACTACATTAGGAGATCACGGGGCCATCTTCTTTTCAGACGCCTCGGAGGGTTATCAGGAATTGAAGAGGAAGCAAGGTTAGAAACGAGAGGATTGGGATGATTCTGAAGTTTATTATGGAAGGATAGGTATCTGGATTGGGCCAGATCTGAAACATAAGGAACATTAAGATCTTTATGGATAATTTTATTAGTGACAAAGTAAGGAGCATTGAGGATTTTACGAAGGATTTTGGATTGTAAGGATTGGATGCGAGAGGAATTTGATGGTTTAGTGGAGCCCCATAGCTCAATTGCATAAGTACACTTTTTATTAATGAAAATAAGAAAATTTAAAATTATGATTTTTCATGTAAGAAGAGAAAAAAATTCTATCTAAAATAAAAAAAAATATATATATAATGTAATACACTCACCAGATAGAATCTGACTGGAGTTCATCCATGACTTTACCATCTTCATCCACAAAGTAATCAACAGTAAGACTGTTTTGAGTATCATGCGCAGAAGAGTAAGTGGTTACGGTACGTGATGGGATTCCCAGTGCTCTGTTAACTAAATAAAGATAAAGAAAACAAAATTAAAGACCAAGATGCTGATACAGATCTATAATTTTATTAAATTTAAAGTGAAAATTTGATTTAACTATTAGAATTGATTGGGCTGTTAATTTTCCATAACATATTTATTCATTCCACAATCTCTACTTACCTGGGAACGTTTTGGCCATTATTCCATCTTCAAGCCAGTTGGTTTATTTTATTTCTTAATGCTGCCTACAGTAATCCAATTATGCAGCATTGAGAAATAAAATATTATCAATAACAAAATATTATCAAGATATTTGTATACATATACAATTGAGGTCTTGGATCAGGCATAATATAATTATTAATAAGGAGTTCAGAAAGTATATATAAACTATATCAAAAATCCTTACCTGTTGTAAGAACACCTGAAAATACCCAACATTGGGCATATTTGACAGGTTTCTTTGTCTTATAATATTTTTGAAGAATTTTCATACTTCCTACCCATTCAGTAGGTTTCTTCCCTCCATCAAATTCTGATGACCAATTACCAACCAGAACACCATTGTCATCTTGTGAGTTGACCTGTTGAATAACGTTAAAAGATCAGTAACAAAAATATATACATATACTTATTTGAAAGCTTTCTGATTTTCTGAGCCATTTTATTTTGAATTAAGTTTGCTAAAAACATGATAAATGTGAATTAACTTCCTTTTGTTAATTGGCATCCAATTAAAAAATATTTATATTTCATTTTTTATCCAGTAAAATTAGTTTACTATCTAATGAATACATAAATATGGTTATAAAAACATTTTTCAAAATGTATGCAAAATTGATACCCATAAAGTTACAGTTTTAGTTAACTTTTTCTACTTTACTTTGGAGATGATTTTAAATTCAACAGATGAAGGAAAAGTAATTATTTAATAACAAACTTGCACTTGATAATGAAAATTTCTAAAATTCAAACTAAACTTTGTAGAAAATAAAATCTTTGTTAAAAACTCATTTTTTCATTGTCTGTAGCCAGGTTATAACATATTTAATTAATTCTGTATAAATAAATGAATATATTTAAGGATTAAAATTGTAATATCTTATTAGTTGAACAATTAAAATAAGTTAATGCAAAATAGTCTATACAAATCAATGTTACAATGTCAGTTTATTAGCTTTTAGTGGCGTCTTAAAATTCTGTCATGAATGTTATTTCAATAGAGTCATATGTATTTGGGACTGATTTAGAATGGTTCTTAAGTCAAAAAAATAGCCATTTTGCTTCCAATTAACAAAACATGTGTTTCCAAGACCAAGTTTAAGTGAGGAGAAATACAAATTTAAAACCCAGCATAATATTATGGTTATTTTAATTCATAGCTTAGAGTGTTACCTTAATAATATTTTAACTTAAATATAACGTTTTGAACAATCATTCAATTTAATTTCCTAGTACATGGTGGTCTTTTAAATCTTACCTTCATTGTTAGACATTTATAAGATGTTCAATTCCATTTTATCAGAAGTGTTCTCTTAAGAAAATAATTCTCATAATCCATAAGTATCAACACTTATACTCATTTTGTCAATAATTTCACAAGTGCTAGTTTTCACAAGTGTGTCAATAGTTTCACATTCATAGTGCTAAATTGAGGAAATTAACCTTTGATTTCAATTGTTGGGGACAACTGAGCCTAAAGTGATGAAAGTGGCAAAAAATAAATAAGAAAACAGAAAATTGAATTTTATAATTTCAGTGTTGACCAGCAATAAAAAAATTGCCCTTATAGATTAAAACTGTTTATACATTAAAGATCTTCTCTTTGGCATCATTTAAATATTTTAATAATGTAACACATATGACAAACTTCTTTGCACAAATTTAAAAACTGCATTGAAAAAGGGAAAAAACTATTTAACTCTAAGAATGAAACTAGAGCATAGCAATGCAGTGTTACTGAAATGTGTTATTGATATTTTAAATGTAGTATTGGGTAAACATTATCCATCAACTGAATAAAATGACCCAGAAATATTGCAATTCATTTTGATTTTTTTTAATAGTTATGATAGTTGACTCACGGGCAGCCATTTTGTCTCTCCAAAATGGATATCATATGAATCCAAATGTCATCTAATTTGAACCTATTAAAGGAAAATGGGACAGAAGTCGCTTTCCAGTGGATACCAGGCCATTGCGGGCTCCACGGAAATGATGAAGCTGACAAACTGGCCAGAATAGGTTCTGGAATGATCCAATCAGATATTCCTCTAGGCACGAATTCAACGAACAGAATTATAAAACAGACCCTCCAAAGTTCACTGAAGGCGAAATATGCGCAAACAATTGAAGGGAAACGATAGAGTGGATTGCTCGAAGAAAGTGGCATGATCCCTAGAGACCTCCCTAGAGGGCAAGCCATGGCATGCTTTTGAATGCTCACAGAACATGATTTCCTCCAGAAGCACCTCCACCGCATCGGTATAAAAGATAGCCCGACATGCCCTCTATGTTCCTTAGATATAATGACAGGAGAACATCTTGATACATGCTCTGCATTACAGGACATAAGATGTTCCTTTAATGAAATGGGTAGCCCTTATGCTAGGAGAGCAAAATTATATTGGACTGCAAGAGCACGCATGGCTGATGAGGCAGGCATTACTTAGGAGTAGGAAAAAAAAAAAAATGATAAACAAACATATTTTGTCTATTCGTTTTTAGTAGGACCTTGATTTAATTACTACAATTATACTGGACAACAATAAAAATGTTTCAGGCTCAAAAATAGTCAATTCATATGTATTTCCCTCTGCTGAATTCAAAAATCCCCATAAAAGTGACAGATTAGCTCTTTCTTTGGAGATAAAGTGACATTTAATTCTTTATAGCCACATTTTCAATATGGGGTAATTTTATTTTTTTTGGGAGTTGGTACACCTGTCAAATAACAAAACACAAATGCTCTTCAGCTGTTCTTAAGTCATAAACATAGTTACTGTTGCTGTGACTATGAGTTTCATATAGTGTCTGCAATTAATGCAGGATTTCTGGTTTGAGAGTGTTTTTTTAGTGTAAAATTTGTAAAAAGGCCACGAAAATGTGTAAATATGGTGAATAATTTTTGTTATATTTGTGATGAAATAACATTTTCCTCACAGAAATCTGATGCCTCTTGTAAAGAATGCCATCAGCATTATTTCTATACTAAAGTAGGGGAACAGGATAAGTCTTGGGCTCCACATATATGTTGCAACGCATGTTGTTACACTGTGACAATGGATAAGAAAGAAGAAACGATCAATGGCTTTCGCTGTTCCTATGGTTTGGCGGGAGCCTACAAACCATACAGATGACTGCTTGACTCCACCTTTAAAGGCAGAATTGTGTATGAAGAAAAGAAGAACAGTTCACTACCCGAATCTTTGATCTGCTATTCGACCCATTCTGCGTTCAGATAGTTTATCAGTTCCTTCTCCACCCAAAAATTATGTGTTTGAAGTCGAAAATGAAGACAGTGGGGAACAAAAAGAAGAACCAAACAAGCCTTCTACATCCCGTGACCCTTATTTTGAGGATGAATACAAGGAAAGGCCTTATAAGAATTATCAGTCTTCAGGTTATAAACATTGGCAGATAGAAATCCATCCCAACCAGATTCCAAGTACCAATTTTTTCATTGTCATATTCGTTTCTCTCAACCCAAAATTAGTAAGAATTGACACATGAAGTGCTGGAAACATTCAAAAATTTGTTTGTTTTTTTGTTGTCCAGTGTTATCAGTAATCGAATAAGGTTTCAAAAAGAACACATTAATCTCACAATTTTATTTCAACAATATAAAAAGCTTTTTATCAAGATTTTTTTATTTAATATGTGTTATTTAGGCTTTTATTAGCCGTCTCAAATAACGTAAAATAAAATAAAAAAATCTTTAAGACACTACATATTATACTACTCCTTGTTATGGCGATATTTTGATTAAAAATTGCAATAAATATTTAGATTTTTTTCTTTTATCCACTTTTAATCAGTGCTCTCCTGTCTTTCGTTTTCGTTGGCAATTTAGTTGATTTTTAATTTAATGGAAATAAGTTGATTTTTTGGCAATTTTTCATTGGGTTTATTCCAATAAGCGGTCTTGTACTGTTTGTTGGAACAGACTCATTTATTCTTCGTAAATAAACTCTTACAACTTTTGAACATGTAGTTTAGAATTTTGAAAATGTCTAATAAAAGCCGAAACAACATAATATCCATGATGTTTCAGGGTTAGGTGGCCAAACTGCAAAAATAAGCTAAGGATCTCAAAAGAAGAAAGAAATTTCCTCTGAAGGTATGTCCACAAACGCTTTGTTTATGAGATGTTCGCACCTAAAGATTTTCATTGTTATGAATTATTTACGTTATATGAAATAAATAAAACCAATTTATTTGTTCTAACTACTTTATAAATTAAATGTAAACATTAACATTCATATTAAATGTTGTTCAAAGTGATTCCCTTGAGCATTAAGACATGCTAGGCATCTTTCTTCAACAGCAGTAGTGACAGAACAGCACTGAATATGTGTTATTGTTTCACAAGATTCAATTATCCTTCTTCGTAAGCAATTAAAGTCATTGACCTGACTTGCATAGACTTTATGTTTAATGTCACCTCAAACATAAAACCCAGTAAGTGTCAGACGTGGAGAGCGTGCAGGCCAAGCCACTGGTCCAGCACGTCCTTTCCATTGATTGGAATATGAGATATGACAGAGCAACTCCAGTCAATGACCTTAATTCCTTATGAAGAAGGATAATTGAATCTTGTGAAACAATAACATATCCAGTGCCGTTCTGCCACTGCTGCTGTTGAAGAAAGATGCCGAGCCTGTCTTAATGCTCAAGGAAATCACTTTGAACAACATTTAATATGAATGTTAATGTTTACATTTAATTAATAAAGTAGTTAGAACAAATAAATAGGTTTTATTTATTTCATATAACGTAAATAATTCATAACAACGAAAATCTTTAGGTGTGAATATCTCCTAAACAAAGTGTTTGCGGACATACCTTCAGAGGAAATTTTTTTCTTGTTTTGAGGTCCTTAGTTCATTTTTGCAGTTTGGCCACTTAACTCTGAAACACCCTATATATTGAATAAAAAAATCTTCTTAAAAAGAATTTTTATTGTTGAAATAAATTTCTGGGAGTAATTTGGTCTTTTTAAAACTTTAATCGATTATTGATTAAATGTAAAGGAAATATAGTTCCATAAAATTAAAATAATGATTAAATAAGAAATTTTTATAAATCATATGATTTTTAACCTTAACCAATAAGGGTTATATTAAACACACCCGATGAACTTAGTATTTTTGGTCAAAATTCAAAAATTATTAACTAAAATATTATATTTACAATGACAACATGCAATAATCCTCTTCACCGATTGGGATTGTCAGTTGAAGAAGCAAAAGACCGTTTGAAAAAGATGATACTCAGCATAGAAGCCAACGCTAATGGCTTAGTGAAACAAATATATAATGAGACAGATTTAGAGTGCACGTTACAAAAAAAAAGCAGCGTACTTGGACCCAAAATGCTCATTGATATAGAGGATAAGAAGAGGAGAAAAAAGAAATTATTGGAAATTTATATTGAAATCAATACATACAAAAATACTCGTCATTTTGATTATTTAATCACTTTTGAAGACATGATAAAAGATATAAAAAGAGACGCACTCAGAAGAATAGCTATCGGCCTTTTAAAAAAAAAACATTATGAGCATTACAGAGCCATATTAGGAGCTCTTCTTCTTCAATCGATATGCACAATGTTAGAGAAAGTATACGTTATTAAAATTAGAGAGAATGATTTAGTACTAGTTTTAAGTGTAAAGGACAAAGTTATCGAACAATATCAGCATATTAATAATATGGAATGTAAAATATTTATCGATAAAACATTTTTAGATGAAAAAGAAATCGGTGGAATGATAGTCTACAATAAATCAAGAACTATTTATGTTGATAACTCGATATTTAAACGATGTGACTTAGTCATGGATTATATAAGGCCATTCATGAGGAGTAAGCTTTTTAAAAATGATAAAAGACTTTCGGAGGAGGAATTGAATCCTGAACATTAATTCAGTTAAGAAAGAATTTAATTTTACAACTAGAGTATGGCATTTTTTTTTTATTTAAAAAAACTTAATGAGAGATTTCTAATTCAATTGTGTTGCATTCTAATATCGAATTTGATTAATGGATTTGTTTAAACTCACCACTGCTGAAAGTGCTCTTGCGATAAAAACTGGATTGTTGGTATTGGCATACGGCACTTTCCCAACCTTATTGATTAAATAAAGACTGCAGTCAAGTATGTCTTTTTCAAACTGAGCGTATTTCCAGACAGAAGGCTGGAGAACGTTATGGCTTCCTCTCCAGATCAGGCCAGTATCGGTGAGGATGTACTCTTTCCTCTTTGCTTCATCTTCAATATATACAGTGTCATCTAAATAAATAAAATTAATTTTTAAAAAAAGGGAAGAATAATTTTTTAACATGTAAGATAAAGTCACCAATTATTGACACCTACCTATACTAGGTAAGGAAAGTATTGCAGTCGGGTCAAATTTCCGCTATGCAGTTTAGATGGATCTATACGTTTCAGAGTCCCCTGGGTCCGAAAAACACATTTTTAGCCATTTTGTCTGTCTGTCTGTGCCAAGATTTTCTCGGGAACTACTGAACCGATTTTGTTGCTTCTTATTTTATTTTGTAGGGTTTTGACTACTGATGTGTGACAGAAATTCGGTGTTCCATGCAACCCAAACGCCACTTAGCCTGTTTTTTGAAAGGTAATGAAATTCCCTACAAAACTATTCAAAAATCGTTCATTTCGGACAACTATTAACGAAGTTACAGCTCTTCAATTTCCAATGTAAGATTACGGGTTCATATCCTGGTGTTAGAAAAGGGTGAATGAGAGAAGAAAGATGAATAAGTGGAAGTAAGAAAGTCTGTTGCCATCATCTCACAAGCTTCACTATTTCCTCTAGTTTTAACATAAATTATTGTTTGACTATACTAAGCTATGGCAAAAAGTTTTTGATCAGCAATATTAGAGATTATTGAAATTTTTACTGAGATCTTCCTTAAGCTGGTTTACAATGCTTTAGTTTATCAAATAAATCGTACTCGAATCTTTTCTTTGATCAATTTTCAGGAAAATAAATCTAGTTCAATTTATTTTTGTTTCTTCATGAACGTATGTAAAGATATAAAAACTTTTCTGAAATAGGTAGGAAAGTCGGGTGAGTGGACACACCAGGTTTTTTTGTAAATTTCCCGATCTGTATGTTTCAAAGTTGCTCATACTAGTCCAAGTCTGTTCTACAGATTCCGCTCTTATGATGACCAAAATACGATGCAAGGTTTTAGTCCAAAACCGATGACAAGTTTTCATCAATTATTGATATGCGAAAATCTATTTTCGACAGAAAAAGGAACCTTTTATTCAACCATAAAATGAGTTTATTTTGAACAAAATATTTGTTATTTACAGATCCAAAATTATCACACATTAGTATCCGAACACTTTAAAACTTATTATCTTTTCCTAGATATCACAAAATGGTATGTGAAAGAAAATCAAATACTATATTAGGTAGGTATCGATCAATATTTAGAGAATAAGGAAATAGAGCTCTTCAGTTTTTCTTATTCCCAAACATTAGAGGATTTAGCAATTTGGTAATTATATTCCGATCTTTGACTTCTCACGTTTCTCATCTTTATCAAGTTGAAAAATGTTCTTCAGTCTATTTTAAGCTCTGAGAGGATTAGCAGCCACCTTTCCTTTTGAAACTTGAAAAAGTCGACAAGCCATGATTACCTTTTTCGTTCTGGTAACCATTATGGCTGTGATAAAGTCACTCTTACTTATTATCTGTTATGTGTCCATTTCTGCCAAAAATTTGACTACTTTGTGAATAACATGTTGAAAGTTAAATGTAAATATATTCCTTTTCGGCGGGAATTGCGAATATTCCTTCCGCTTTTATATCGGGAAACTAGGTTATTTACACTCTTGAATATGAAAACAAAACCCCGGCACTGGATATAGACTTTTTGAGGGTGTTTAACTGTTGTTGGGAATTAGGTAATCTAATACCTTTTGTGACACTGAGTGAGAAGAAACAATAAGAATATATATATATGAAATGTGGGACTTAGTAAATACACTTTGAATGAATTAACTCACCTTGTTTATTATTCTCCAATTGTGAGGCCTATAGGACAACTAAATAAAAGGACTATTCAATCCTGTCTTATAAAACAATTTATTTCACAACTGTAATAAACGAATGTATAAAAGTCTAATAACTGTAGGCTTAATTTCTTAGTCTTCAATGTAGTATCTCTCTCTTCTGACAACCTCCTTTCTTCCTGTCCAGGCCTAGCGTCCTCTCGACTCCGTGTCCTAGCCTCAAGTGCCTCTCCAGCTGTTGCTAGCTACCTGCTCTGACCTTTTTCCAGCGTCCTTCTTCATCGATATGAGACTTTTCCATGAATAATTTGTCCGCTGCATAATTGAGTACAATTCACAGTGCAACCTCACATTCCTATATATTCCTTCTCATTCCCACACATAAAGGAGTAAATACTGGGGAATGTCTACTACAACTTCCATGTTTTTGTGTTCGTGGCCTTCCTTAATATTCTTCTATTTATGTCTTTCTTCTGTATCTTTCTGTTCATGTCCTTGTTTCTAGCCTTTCTGTTCATGTTCATCTATCTATTTATACAGTACACTTTGTGTCAATAACCGAGAAAACTGATCATTTTTAAGATCAGATGATTCAGATATCAAATCATCAAGAAGAGGTAACAAAATGTGTCAAAAGAATTGAAGCTCATAATAAACATTAAAGGACGAGATAAAATAGGTAAAATTTTGCCTCACCTTCTTAGCAAAGGCCAGTAAGGTTTCAGTGACTGAGGTGAAGTGATAAGAAATATGTTTTCCAAACTAATTTATTACCCAATAGAAACTTCATTTAGGTGACAATCATTGGCGGATTAATGTGCTTTTGAAATGGTGCCAAGTTTGAAATCCTACATGAACCTAAACACTTATTTTATCAAATTTAAATTACAAGTGTCAATAATTGGTGGCTTTAATATAGTTTTACAATTTTTTTTATTTATTAATATGAATAAATAGGTGTATAAATGACAGTGACAGAAAAATAAAACAAGATAACATTCAATTTTGCATTCCTAAAAGCAAACTTTGAACTTAAGCGGGTTACTTATAACAAAATTTAGGAAATAAATTTGGCTGATTTTGTAATTCTACACAAAATATATTCTTAATTAGTGAAAAATAATAGTATTACCTTTGCACCATGGGTTAAAAAGTATGTATAGAGGATCCATATATTTAAAACTAACTGCTTTGCTAGTTTTGATAAGCTTTGAATCTATTTCCATCTTATATTTTCCCACGACACAGTCCACTGAGGGAGATATCTAAAAAAAAATTGTTTTTTACAATAATTAGAAGAAGAAATTAATAAGATAATAATTGCTATGTACCATTGAGTATTTATTCAGATTAAACATTTTGTTCCAAACATCTATTTTTACTTTCACTTATTCATATAATAGTGTCATAAGGAAAGTATTGTGGTAGTAAACAATTTGAAATCTGAGTTTTCATTTAAAATACCTGTTTCAAGGTTCCTTGAATCTAAATATTCAAGTGTTGCAAAAGGATGCGTGACTCATTTTTAATAGAAATAGCAAATGTATAAATATGAACTATGAAACAATTTGATAAATAACTAAAGGAAAAAATGGTATGAATATTTTTGCAGGTTGGAAACAAAGTTCCAAAAATAACATTAGTTATAAAGATTTATAATATCCTCCGCATATACATAGTTCTGTAAGTAGAGGGAAATAATTATAAGAGTAATTGCAGATCTCAAGAGCTACAAAAAATTTCATATAAACAATGGGCCAATTTTCAGCAGAAAAGTAGGAAATCCAAGTTTTGTGTTTTTTAAGTAAGTAATTTTTATTTATTATATAGGAAGGGATAACTAATAAAGTATTTAAAATTTAAGTAATTAACAATTGCTTCACTGTGAACTGGACAAAATCTACTTCAGATTAAAATACTCATACAAGACTGAAACGACAAGAAACCACTCGACGTTCCGATTACTTCAGCACTTACCAGACAAACGTTCTAAACTTCCAATTAATTATAAAATACTCATATACATGACTATAATAAGGGCTATTTGGACTTACGGAGTCGAGCTATGGGGCTCGACTAAACCATCAAATTCCTCTTGTATCCAACCCTTACAATCCAAAATCCTTCATAAAACCCTCAATGCTCCCTACTTCGTTACAAATAAAATCATCCATAATGACCTTAATATTTCTTATGCTTCAGATCTAGCCCAATCCAGATACCTATCCTTCCATAATAAACTTTAGAATCATCCCAACCCTCCCGTTTCTGACCTAGCTTCCTCTTCTATTCATGATAACACTCCAAGACTTCTGAAAAGAAGATGGCCCCGTGATCTCCTAATGTAGACATATCATTAGAGTGCTACCATTGGGTAGTTACTCAACAAGTGTTTTCATGTCATCACATCCATATGTCCATTAAAACCATTTAAAGAGGACCTTTGATTGGCTAAACTAAACTGAATTTTGTGTTAAAAAAATCATAAATTATTCACAATTTTTTTTACCATTATCCAATTATACTACTGATATCCCACCTTTTTCATTTGATAAGCTTTAAGTCCATATTAATTAAGTTGAGGTTTATTAGGAAAAAATTTCAGATTCACGTCAAGTTGTATAAAAAAATTATGTGATTTTTTATCCTGTCGCCTAAAAATAGCCATGTTTTCAGCAAAAATGACTACAATAACTGTTGCAAAGCTTTTATTTCTTGTTTTTCATGATCTGGGATGCATTAAAATACACTTAATTGCCTAAATATACTTTTTATTAATATAATTTTTTTTTTTCAAACGCAATTATTTTTCATGTAAAATGGTTCTGAAACTGTATTTTTCTCCCAGATCTCTGTCGTAGAAATTAATCCATATTTATAAGTGACAAACTTAATGTTCCCTATTCTAATATTAATATTCAAAATAAAGAAACCTGCTTATTGCTTCAATTATTTTCATGAAAGTGTTAATATAGGATAAGGAACATTGAGTTTGTCACTCATACAGATTAATTTCTATGATAGATATTTGCTAGAAAAACACAGTCCCATAAACACTTTAAATGAAGAATCATTATTTTTACCATTTCTTTTATATTAATAAAAAGTTATTTAGACAATTGTATCTATTATAATACATCCTAGACTATGGAAAAATAAGAAATAAAAGTTTTGCAACTAATTATAAGCATTTTTTCTGAAAACAGGGGTACTTCTAGGTGACAAGAAGTAAAATTACATAAACCTCAATTTAATTAATTTACAGTTAAAGCTTATTAAACGTGGAAGTTTTTCTAAATCTATCTCTAATATAGTTGAATGATGATAAAATAAAATCTTGTATAATTTATGATTTTTTTAAACACAGACTTAGTTTAGTTTAGCAACTCACAAGTTCTTTTTAAATGGTTTTAACCATGACGAACTGCTTTTATTTGAAGTAAATTGTTTCTATGAGAAGGAGTGGGTTGTGGAGTGAAGACAAATAAATAATAAATTTTTAAAAAATAGTATTATTAATTGTTTTGCCGACCCACCTTGCAGGTCTTCATAAAGGGCGTTGCATCAGACACTGTAGGAAGCAGTTGACAGATGGTTAATCTGCAAAGTGTGTCGAAACGTCGGCGAAACACTTAAAAATACTATTTTTTAAAAATTAAGTATTTATTTGGCTCCACTCCCCGGACCAACTCTTCATATTATATCACGGTCAACCATCTCTACATCATTATAAATTGTTTCTAGTTTTCAGTGAAGCTATCATTTTTAATTACTTATATTAAATATTGCTTTAGTTATCACTCCATATTCAATAAAAACCACGACACTTTAAAAAAAAGCACAAAACTTGGATTTCATACTTTTCTGTTGCGAATTGGCCCATTATTTATATGAACTTTTTTGTAGCTATTGAGATCTGCTTTCACTCCTATAAATACACATAAGGTTGTAGAAGGTAATGGAGAGTAGCAAAAGCTAATATTCTAATGGCTTTTAATTGTTGCAATTGATAATGTCTACTTATTAGGGAATGGTAAATAAACATTTCCATAAAAACTATTTGGAATTACCATACCAATATTGTTAAAACTAAATGTTTTTCAACTTTATGAACCAAAAATATATAATGCACATTATTGTTATAATCATAATTATATGATAATATTGTTAAAGACAAAAAATAACGAAAGATAATAAGTAAATAAAATAAAATAAAATAAAATATTGCATAAATGAATTTGAGGCGTGATCTATTACTTAGAAGTAGAATTCAAGTCATGGCTAAACAAAGAATTGACTTTCAATTTTCCAGAAATGAATCTCTAATAAAATGTTATTCAATTACTCCATTTATTCATATGGATTTCTTTTAATAATTTAAGAAGATGATTGTCAATATTAAGACAATTTTTCTTTTGGCAAAGAAGTGTAGCACAAACTTCATAACGCTCGTTTTTTTTTTTTTTTTTTTTTTTGTTTTTTACGGTCGTTTAATGTGTATGGAACCCAACTTTTAAGCTTTCCTGCAATTTCTGGAACAGTAGTTCTGGGGTTTTCTTTCACCAAAGCCAGCAGAACATCATCATCAAGAAAGAAAGTCCTTCCACGACCTTCTTTGTTTTCAAAGCTGAAGTCTCCTTCCCGAAATTTTTTGAATAGTGCATTCATTAATGCTGCTCTCGCCTCAGACTTGATTGATGTTTCTGGCCGTCTGGGTCCAGTTTCTGCCGAGTTTAAACTCGTAAAACAAAATTATACGGAAATCACGCGTTGACATCTTATTAAAGATTCAATTATTTCTAAGCTGCGAAATGCTACCGAGGTAACTAAACATTACAGTTTGGAAGAGGATTAATAAGTGTTGACATCTATACAAATAGTTTGTTATATAATTTATATAGTTAATTTATTATATAGAGAGGTATTTTAAAGAAAACTGAAAACTGCGGATAGGTTATTACCAGAAGAATATTGCGATGATATAATCTGGGAAGAGGATGTGGAAAGGGCTATAGAAAAGCTTAAGACCGGAAAAGCAGCAGGGAGGGATGGCATTGGCCCAGAGGTAATTAAGTTTGGAGTACCAGAATTGGAAAAGCACCTGCAGGACCTCTCTCAAAAAATCTGTGCCGAAGGAGTGGGAGTATAACATACATATCCCTATACACAACAAAGAAAGCTTTAGTGACTGAAAGAATTACAGATCTAGATGGCTCTGCCAAGTGGTTTACAAGCTCTACACATCCATCCTGGAACGAAAGTTGAGAGAAATCGTAGAAGCTGACCTCGAAGAAGAGCAGGCAACATTCAGACCGCACCGCCAGACTCAGGACCACGTATTCTCCCTTAGGACTATTATTGAAATGGTATGGGAACGAGAAAAGAGCGTGTTTCTAGCTTTTGTTGATATCAAGGCGGCGTTTGATTCGGTCCCAATACAAGAAATATGGGCAGCTCTAGCTGCAAAAAATGTAACTAATGGTCTAATAGATGCTACAAAATCCAAGCACCACGACAAAAAGGGCGTAATAAGAATAAATGAAAAAGAATCCGAATCTTTCGAAATGAAAAAAGGATTAAAACAAGGAGACAGCCTTAGCCCTCTACTGTTCATCATATTCATGGATGAAATCCTAAAAATATGCAAGAAGAGGACAGCACACACAGTTGTTGGGAAGTGAAATATGAGGACGCTGCTCAGGCTATGGTTTTTGCAGATGACTTTGTTCTCATAACAGTTTCAAAAGAAAATCCTGCAGCAAGCAATCATAGAGTGGGAAGATGAGCTGGATAGAAAGGGAATGATGCTCAATGCAAATAAGAGCAAGGTAATGTGTATAGGACGAAATGAAGAAAATGTGGAGATCCGATGCAGAGGAGAAATCCTAGAGAAGATTGAGGAATATACCTACCTATGTACAGTCATTAGTAGAAATGGAAATATTGATGGGGAGGTTTCCAACCGGATCAAAAGACAAATAATGTCTAATACCAATTATGCAACACAATTGCTGGAAAGATGGAAGTGGACTAAAACGTCTCTTCTCTTCTCGTCCCACTAAACAAGCACTGGAGCCGATTAACAGCCGCAGAAATGAGATACTTGAGTAGAGTGGCTGGCCGAACTAGAAGAGATCTGGTTAGAAATCAGCGAATATGAGTTTCAGCTGTAAAAGAGGTGCTTGATAGGAAGCAGCTGAAATGGTTTGGCCACCTTTGCCGAATGGAGGAAGATCGGGATCCAAGGAAGTACTTCGAAGCTAGGCCAACTGGAAGACGTCCCCGGGGCAGACCTAGGTTAACGTGGACGGACCACATCTCCAAGATGGGATAGCAAAGAGGACGCGGGCTGAATGCCATGAAGGCGCTAGCCAGAGATCGGAATGCGTGGCTGGCATGGACTGAGGTACCTCCACGTTGAAAGGCACAAGGAGAAAAAAGAGAAGAAGTAGAAAACATCCATACAAATAGTTTGTTTATTATATAGAGGGGTATTTTAAAGAAAACTCAAAATTCTGCATTACGTTCCGACTCAACACAACTCAATAAATTTAAAATCACTTCCTTGGCTTTCCCTTAGACAGACGACTAACGTGGAACCCTCAGATAAGACTCAAAAGACAGGAACTAAACGATAGGCCAACTATACCGACTACCTAAACAGGAAATCTAAACTTCCATTGAAAACAAGTTACTGATCAACAAGACAATTATAACCTATCTGGACATATCGACTTGAACTGTGGGGAACAGCAAAATTATCTAACATCAACGCCATCCAATGCCCTTCCAAACCAAATTCCTTCGAACAATCGTCGATGCCCTTTCTATGTAACAACAAAACCCTACACCATGACCTTAATATCCCATTTTCCTAGACCTAGCCCATCAAAAATTCTCCAAATTCCACCAGAACCTTACCATCAACAAATCCCTTTCCAATCTCTATCCCGCACCAACCAACCATATCATCCTCTCAAGGAGGATAAACGGCAGTGGCCCGCGACCTTATATTTGTTAAATATTGGCGTTCTGGCAATGGCCATATTCTCCACTCACGACATTAGTGTATGGGGTTTGAGCACTCTTGGCACAATCTCCACTGGGCTTAGCCCAGTGACGCGGTTGAGAGAGAAAGTACTGGGATCTCCTGGAAACCATGCTTTTCCCTCCGACACTTGGAGGAACAAGTCTGGTTGGAATCCCTCACCTATTGTAAAATATTGTAATAGGTTTTATGTATGTGTTCGTTTTAATCATTTATTTTTGGTTATTTATTCTTATTTATTGTATAAATGTTATTTTTACTGTATAATTTATTTTGTTTACTATACAAGGTGTGAATGTGATCTTATATTATAAACCTATTTAAATGTCCTATGATAAATCTGTACACTATTATAAATTTCCCTTGAGACAGATTGTCATATTTTCAAGAAATAAATTACAAATTAATAAAACAAAAATCACTTCACCACTTTACCTGAACTGTTAAGAAATTATCGTGAACGTTATCGACGGTAGCTTTCCATGAATCTTTATTTTTGCCTTGCGATAGAAGTGGGACAGCAATGAGTGTTCCTTGTCCATAATTTGGTTTCTCTGCATCTGATAACAAAATAAAGTAAACATTTATTTTTGGCCTATTGCAAACAAATAAAATATTGACTTTTACTTTAAAATTGGAAAGCTTTTTAAAGTTTTTTTGTACCTGCAAGTGTGAAAATAAATGATATGGCATCATCTTTCTCAGCATAGGCTCTGGATGTCTTGATCTGCAAGGTGAATGGTTGTCCACGCCGCACGACAAGGTTCGGTTCGTCCAATCTTCGCATGAGTTCGAAATTTCCCGTGTTGTGTTCCGAACCATTTTTTAGCAAGCATGGGTCGACTGATTCAATCCTTAATCCTTCTTGCTTTGCTAGATCCACTTCTGAAACAAAAGTTTTTTAAATCAGACTAGAAAAATGTAGCTATTTATTTAAATACAAAGTATTTATTAATATTATTTGTTACGGAAAATCTACTTAACAAGATGAATCATAAACAGATATAATAAAAATAATGTATACTTTTGATTCCATTTGTTATTAAATAAAACGTCTGCCAAATAAGGTCAGTATATCTTCCTCACCGTTTTCATTTTCTAAAAAATATCTATATTAAAAGGTCTAAATATTTTCTTATGAGAATATAATCTCTGGAAGAAGCCGTTTTCGGAAATTCAGCAATTCCTCCACATATAAGGGCTTGATATCCATGAGTTTTATTTATCATCAAATACTAAAATGCGAATAAGTTCCGCATTTGCAGATTGCGTATTTGATAATTCGTAATAAAAAAATCCAATAATACTGAATATGTATCTCGCCACGGGCGGATCTACGGAGGGGGGGTTTTCGGGCTGAAGCCCCTCCTCCCCTCCCCCCCAAAATAGGAAAATATAACCATGTTTTATCGAAAAACATATTGAAAAATTATCTCTCGAAGTATTATTGTTCGTGTAATTACATTTAAAAAGGCTTTAGGAATCACTTGAACACCATTTCATATAGGTAGTTAGTTTCTTTCTTTTTTTCCAAAATAATTATCGTTATTTTTATGAAAAAAAAGCTTTCGGGCTGAAACCCCCCCCACAAAAAAAATTAAATCCTGGATCCGCTAGTGTATCTCCCTACTGTTAGTGCAAATGACGTATGCAAAAATGGAGTGTTTTACAGGAGAGCATGAAAACTAATTATTTCTTTATGATTTATGAATATAATTTTAGATTTTATTGCCCTCTGTTATTTTTCGTAGTAGTAGACTACTTATATAAATTGTAGACTACGTTATGTCAAAAATAGAATAAAAATTAAAAACTTTACATAAGATATTTGAATTAACAGTAGTGATCGAGACCACGACGAGCTGATTGAACTTCAATGGAAATAAACACAATCACAAATAAGACTTTTTTTTTAGAAATTCAAAGTAAAAATTACTTTAAATGTTCTGAAAATTACACGAAATCTATGTAACGGCAATATGTGTTATTCCAGTAATATTTGGAATCGACTAAACAATATAGTATAAATTAACATTTTGAATAAAACCTAAAATTTTATAACCCCGTAACAAATATTGTAATAACCTAACCCCCACTATATTTGACCAGTGTCTTCCAGATTTCACATCCTTATATTCTTAATAATTATTTATTTTTATTTTAATTATTAAATGAAATTGATACTAAGTAATTTCTATACTGTTTTCCAAATTTCCTCCAAGTTTGGGTCAAATCGAATGCACCATTTTCAAACTATAGGCATATAAAATAACACATTTTCTGATCTAAAAGCAGAAGTTTTATTTTTGGAGTAGTAGATAGAATTTGATGCCTATTTCATTTTACGTTTACCAATCCACAAATTTCCTCCAAATCTGAGCCAAATCGAACTTGCGGTTTTAAGATATAGACATATCAAGGAAAACACGTTTGCTTATATATAAGAGAAAGCAATGGACAGAATTCAATCAAACTGGACCTACGTTATTTTTTCACAAATACCTACCTTTTATCCAACTTTGAGTTAAATTGAACGAGCTGTTTCTGAAATATTGGCATATCTACAAAAATACGTTTGCGCTTGTATAAGCGGAAGTGCTGAATAGACTTTAATAAAATTGATATGGAACCATCTAGATACCAACCCGCACAATCTCTTAAAATTTCATGAAAATGGGATAAACGGTAGTAGGTGATATGCACGCTACAACGATTTGACTGCAGACAGACAGACACTCAACCAAATTTGATCCTTAGTTACGGGATGGACTTAATCCGTAACAACTATTAATATTAACTTTTATTTAATTTAATCATTTAATCATTCATTGACCTTTATCAAAGCCCTAGATAGCCAGGTCAAGCTATCTCTGATAGCTTAGAAATAGTTATCTAGAATGTACTGACTGGACAGAAGACACTTATCAAGACTTAGGGAACAATAACCGATTTCAGCAAAAGAGCACTTTCTCACAGACTTCATATCAATTCTAAAAGATAAGGATATCAATTCTTAATAGTTATAACTTCATTCACACGCTTCCTAGACCGTCCAGAATTGATTCATCCCCCCTACTATTCCTGAGTATATAACCCCCATCCTTCTAAGACCAAACCACTCATGCAGTTGCATTCTTGAGTCATACTCTTCACTGTAGGAGACCTGGAGTGAACTCTTGTAGTTAATCCATATATCCATATTATATTACTCTGTATTTTAGATGTCATTTGTAACATTATGAATAAAGCATTACCTATAAAGTCTCCACTGCCTCCGATTCGTTAACTCTTGATGTCTGAAACGTAAAAAGCGAGTGAAAATTTTCGATCCTGAGCACTACATTTCTTTTAACCCCTCGCACGAATACAATGCTTATCCTATCTTCGGTAGTGAGGAAGCAAAATAAAAAAATAATTATAATAGGCAGTGATACAGAATTTTTTTTTATTAAATTATTAACATCCGCCTGAAACTTCGTAAATAGCTTCATCTCATCGTAACCTACAAATATTTTATTTACGAAAACTCTTGGAATTGGGGCGTTTTCAATCTGGAGCACTAGCGAATCCAGGATTTGATTTTGGGGGGGGAGGGGCTTCAGCCCGAAAGCTTTTTTTTTCATAAAAATGACGATAATTACTTTGGAAAAAAAGAAAGAAACTAACTATCTATATGAAATGGTGTTTAAGTGATTCCTTAAGTCCTTTTATATGTAATTACACGAACAATAAGACTTTAAGAGATAATTTTTTTCCATAAAACATGGTTATATTTTGCCAATTTGGGGGGGGGGGGCTTCAGCCCGAAAGCCCCCCCGTAGATCCGCCCGTGATCTGGAGGTCGGCAAACTTTGTCTATTTAATTAGGTACTAAAAACTAATAAATATCTATTTGCTTTTCACTTGAGACGTAAGATAATTTAAGCACAAAATCGAGAAAAAAGGAGCACTACAAAAATATTTGCCTTACATGATATCGTTATTTTGATATTGTTGGAGTGTAGGTCACTCCAAACCGCTCAGTATTTTTGAAGGCCATATTTTTTTCTCGAATTTGTGCTCAAATTATCTTACGTCTAAAATGGAAAGCAGATGGATATTTACGAATTCTTAGTAAATAATTAAATAGACAAAGGTTGGCGACTTCCAGATTGAAAACGCCCCAATTCCAAGAGTTTTGAAAATAAAATAGTTGGAGGTTACAATGAGATGATCTCTGATAGAAAAAGTAATTTTTTTTATTTGTAATAATTAACTATTTCACATTAATCTTTGATATAAAAAGCAGACAGACAGACAGAACCAAATTTGATCCTTGATGTCTGAAACGTAAAACGCGAGTGAAAATTTTCGATTCTTGCAAACAATTTTTTTAACCTCTTGCACGAATACATACATACCTTCGGTAGTGAGGAAACAAAAAAAAATATTTTAATTTTTTTTAAAACCCCAATTAAAGAAATTGGGAAATTTTATCCACCCGTACTTCCTTATCTGTAGTAACATTTTGGTAGATTGATTGGTAAATTGACGTCTACGTATATTTAAACTTGGTGTATTGGTCTGGTTCCTGTCAGACCTCAATACTCCTTCGGATGTTGACCGATACATGGGACGAAATATATTTGCCTAGAGCCGTAATGTGTAGTGAAAGGAACCCGACCACTACATCAAGTTTAAATATTCGTAGATGTCAATTTCACTATCAATCTACCAAAATGTTTCAGTAGATATTGAAGTATATTTTCTTAGGGTGGATAGAATTTCTCAATTTTTCTATTTAGATTTTTTTTAAATTAAAATATTTTTTATAATTAATTGTAAGTTTAGAGCATTTGTCTAGTAAGCACAGGCGGGTCTACGGGGGGGGGGAGGAGAAAAAAATAATAAAAACTATCTCTTAAAGTATTCTTGTTCCTGTAATTACATTTAATAGGACTTTAGGAATCACTTAAACACCATTTCATATAGGTAGTTAATTTCATTCTTTTTCAAATTAATTATCGTTATATATATGAAAACAAAATCTTTCGGGCTGAAGCTCCCCCTCCCCCTAAAAAAAATTAAATCTTGGATCTGCTAGTGCCAGTAAGTGCTGAATTAGACAGATTCTTGTCGTTTCAGTCTGGTATGAGGATTCCAACTTAAACGTTTGTCAAAGTGGAGTCCTAGATAACGGATTTGTCCAACTGTGATAAGTGGAGTATTATTAAAAATGTAATCAGTGATTTTTTAAAAAGAATTTTATTACGACTTTTAGTATTAAAAAAAGGTGTATACGGATCGATACTTTCTGAGAAAATGATCTATATATACGATGTATGATTTTAGATATATATATAATAATTATATGCCTTTATAATACAATATATTATCAGGTTGCTATGACGACAACACACAGAGGGACTAGCTGATTTAACAAGACTACGCTACGAATCTTGATTTATCCGATGAGTCACGTGGTTAAGCAACAGGACCCGTTTTAGGTCAGGGCTCTTCGAGAGTATTTTAATGGTGTTTCGGCGAGCAGCTAACAGCTCAACACTTGTTTACATCACTCAGGCATAATATATATTTTTTTTTTTTTGTCTATACAAAATGTATCCGCGCCTGTTAACTTATTGTTGACAATCAGCAAATGTGATGGCGATACATGAAATAATGACAGGCATGGAGAAGGAAAGTACTCAGCAGTACCTCTTCCCTAACTTGTTCCAATTACTTAAGTTGTTTAAGGAAGGAGATCCCTCATCCAACGCCTTTTTAGTCTCCTCATTTTCTGAGGTATGTCAGCTGTGGCCATGTCTCTTATTAGTCCATTTAAATTTGTGTAAAATCGTTGATAAAGGATCGATATATGATGGAAGGTGGAGGTCAGTATGTAGA